CGCCCCAGGGGCGCGAAATGTCACGAATCGAGAACTATAAAATAACCCATCCGGGGCAGGACAGGGCGGGTAGGCGGTCTGCCGTCCGCCCGGGGCTGCTCTCGTTCGTGTCCAACCCCGATATTTCAAGTTGTGCGTTGCGATAACAAAAAGTGCAGTAATACGTTAAACCAGGTAGTTTGTGAAGGATTAATCCTTTGCTTGCTTCAAATCTGAACAGGAATCTCCACACAAATGCCCCACATGTGGAAGAACCTTTAATCAAAGAAGTAATCTGAAAACTCACCTTCTTACCCATACAGACATCAAGCCCTACAACTGTGAGCAGTGCGGCAAAGTGTTCAGGCGAAACTGTGATCTACGGCGGCACAGTCTAACTCACACCCCGCGGCAGGACTTCTAGAGCAGCCAGGGACCCGCGCCCGCTCCGGCAGCTCCAACTTGCCCATTTTACTCAAGGACTGTGTTGTAGGAACTCACAGACGCGCACACACACACACGGAGACACACACGCAGACTCGGGGCCAAGCTTTCCTACCACACGTCTGCGAAACTCGTTTTGAGAGTGCGGACTGCAGGATCGGGCCCCTCTCCAACCCACACCCAGGCGTAAAGCTCATCTTGTAGATACTCGCGGCTCATTTTAGAGCTCTGTACAGAATGTGGTTTTCTTCGTTTGTTTGTTTCGTATCGTCGTGTCAGATGCACATCGGTAACAAATCGGGGAGGCAAAGTATCTCTTAAAAGTGTATTTCAAAATAAATCCTTTTTTTTTCCAAATACCTCCTGCCTTCTTGTATTATTCTCTGAACATTTGGGCTTTTTTTTCCTGCTGTGTCAATGCAATGGTAAAGCATATTGAATAAATTTCCTAGCCGGGTAATTGTACTGTCACAACAATTTTGGTGATCGCTTTTGTTTGGCCTGTTTCACTGTCGCTGTTGTGTTATCTATTGTTAAGTAAAATGAAAGTGCCGTATTTGCGAGTTTATAGCTCCATTACTTAATAGTCTGAATGTCTAAATATTAACTTCTGTACTTTTTTTTATTTTCCCGAACGAAATATTTTTTTTTTTAAGAAGAGAAAGAAAGAAATACTTGCAAATAAACAGATCTTAGGAAATAATGCATAGAGCCGTTCTTACGCCAAAGCGGCTTATTAGTAACTTATTTGCAATCAGCCCATATATTGTAAAAGCCATCCCTTTCGCGG